ATATACTTTTTTTTTTTAATGGAAAAGGAGTCCATGAAGGCAAAGTGCCTAGGACCCACAGAGTCCTAACAGGACCTTGTTTTTGCTTAGGCTGGACCCCACCCTCCCCCAGTTTTCCACCTGTCACTTCTGGAAAGCTAGGTTCCAAAGACAGCGCTGAGGTAAAGCCATTGGGAATGTCCCAGTGGCTTTGGTCCCTGTCCCTTCCTCTTCAATGCCCCGTCGCACCCCAACCTTATAAGTCTTGTAGTTTGTAAAAGCTTTGGTAATTTTGTTGGTTTTGTGCATCTCTCTCCCCTTCCCCCATTACTGTTGCTCCCGCCAAGTCCATAGCCGTTTTAGCTCGGGTCTTGGTACCCTCTCCCCCGAGGGCAGGAGCTGCCCAGTTAGTTGCCCAGCTAACTTCGGAAGAAAACTGGCAGAGGCTGGGCCTGGGGACCCTCAGGATCCGCTGCCCAGGTGGGAAGCCAGAGTGGCGGGGGCAGGCGGCCACCCGAATCCCCCGGGGAGGGGCGCACGGTCCAGGGGTGAGGGTGGCGGGGCGGGTCGTCGGGCCTGGCAGGCTGCCCGTCGGCCACTGGCCCCTGCAGGCGCCTCCTGTCCGCAGCACCCGAAGGAAGCCCGCCCCTTGCGGTTCTCTCCTTATTTCCCCCAAGGCTCCGCCCCGCCCCACCCACCTCCCCTGTGAGATTTCTTACGAAAAAGTGCAACTGAGAATTCCCAGAAGGTCCCGGATGTGAAGTCACTGGCGTGAGGTCACCGAGCTTGGTTCCAGGAATCACAAGCTTGTGGGGGAGGAAAGAATGCACGGAAAACGAGGGAAAGCAAGTGAAGTCGTGGGTGCTGGCGAGCGAGGGAGGGGGTGAAAGACGGCTAGCTCAGCTGCGTCCCAGGCTCCTCTCCAACCAGGCCTTGGCGGGCCTGACCTCAGAAAAGATTTCCTTGGAAAGGATGCCGCCCTCTCCCGTGTTAGAGGAATGCCGATGGAACCCAGAGATACCGATCCCTATTAACCAAGATCAAAGAGTATGATGCTGGAGCAGATGGGGCAATAGGAGTATTTTTTTCCGCTGTTGACAAGAAGGGAGAACTGCCTGCGTCTGCCTGTTTGGAAAACAATTTGCAAATATGATCAGAATTTTAAATGAACATGCCCTTTGACCTCACAACTTCACATCTCAAGAGTTAGCCCATGGACACAAATATGAGGATAAGCCGGGTGTGGTTATGTACTCTTGTAATCCCAGCTCCTCAGGATAGACAGAGGCAGGAGGATCACAAATTGCAGGGCAGCCTGGAAAACTTTGTGAGACCCTGCCTCAAAGAAAAAAAATAAAAAAGGCCGTGGGCGTTGCTCAGTGATAGTGCACTTATCTACTATGAAAAAGAGCAAGGCCGCGGGTTCTATCCCCAGTACACAGGGGGGAAAAAGAAGATAAATGCATACAGTGGTTTTTAGAGGCGTTGTTTGAAATGCCAAAGATTGACTATCTGTAGGAAACTGTTTTTAAAAATGACATGGGAGACCAGGCACCGTGGCACACACCTGTAATCCCAATGGCTTGGGAGGCTGAGACAGGAGGATCACAAATTCAGAGCCAGCCTCAGCAAGGGCGAGGCACCACGCAAACCAGTGAGACCCTGCCTCTAAATAAAATACAAAATAGGGCTGGGGATGTGACTCAGTAGTCAAGTGCCTCTGAGTTCAATCCCTGGTACAAAAAAAAGAGAAAGACATGGTACATCCAGACTTTGGAATACTATGTGTTATGAAAAGTTAAGTTATTCATGAGCCAAATGCCCAAGATACATAGTGGGGAACAAAACCCAGGAGCCCCCCTCCCAATTCCTGTGCTCTTCATTATGGTCAATTTTTAAAGATGTATATGTGTTCAACCCCAATATATATTGACCTATTACAAAATGCACATTGCAGACACTGGAGATACAGCAGTGAAGAAAACAGGCCCTGAAAAAGAAAGGGTATGGGCTCATGGGGAGTGCACCAAGGTGGTAAATTCTTATGGAGAAAGGAGGCCTCTCCAAGTTGACAGAACAAGGTTAGAAGACTTCATAAACCTGCCAGGCAGACAGCATAGTGAATGCAAGACAGATTTTTACTTGGCATGTGGAGAGCAGAGAACCAGAGTAGCTGAAGCCAAGGAGTAATGAGCAGAGTGGTAAAAGGAAGTGTGGGAAGGTTGGAGGGGCATGGGAGGTTGGGGGCAGGTATACCCCTGTAGGGGCTTTTGTAGATGGGAAGACTTTGAAGGATGTTGAGCAAAGAAGTGACATGATCTGACAGGTTGCAAAAGATCCCTCTGGCTACTGAGTGGAGACACACTCCAAGGGAAGAAGAGGGGGGGCCAGGGAGCAGGCTACTGCAGTAATCCCTCAGAGAGATCATGGTGACTGAACCAAAGTGGGAGGAGACATCAAGCAGTGTTCTGCTCCTGGATGCATTTTGATAAGGGAGCTGGTAGAATTTGCTAAGTGACCAGATGTAGGTGTAAAAGAAGTCTAGTGACTATGTAACTGTAAACATGGAGTTAGCTTTTATCAGGATAGGGGAGAATGTGCAAGATTTTTATTGACTGGGAGCTGCTTATGTGGGTCAGGAGTTTCTGGGTGATAGAAATATGAGCTGTTTGGAAATTATAGCAGAGAGGGTCCCAGAAAGAAACAGCTAGCATGCTTAAATTGAGAAATTTGAAGAGAGTTTAATAAAAGGAGAGTTTTTGTTTGTTTGTTTTTGGTACCAGGGATTGAATTCAGGGGGCACTCAACTGCTGAGTCACATCCCCAGGCCATTTTATATTTTTTATTTAGAGACTGGGTCTCACTGAATTGCTTAGTGCCTCGCTTTTGCTGAGGTGGGCTTTGAACTTGTGATCCTCCTGCCTCAGCCTCCCCAGCAGCTGGGATTACAGGCATGCACCACAGCACCAGGCATAATAGAAGGAGTCTTTAATCTTTACAAAGCATAGTAGAGTATAGAGGAGCAATTTGGAAGGCTGAGGCAAGAGTTCAAAGCCAGCCCAGGCAACTTTTCTCAAAATTTAAAAAAAAAAAAAATAGAGCTGATGATGTAGCTCAGTAGTAGAGTATCCCTGGGTTCAATCCCCAGTACTGAAAACACAAACAAAATGAGAAGTTATGAGGACACTCTGAGATCCCAGGGCTACTAAGATGTGGGACTTAGACATCCATATTTCTGAAGAAGGGAGAAGAGGATGTTGCTGGAAACTTGAGGACAGAAAAAAAGTTAAGTGGAGAGGACAACATTCAAACTTGTGTGACCTCATCCAGGGAAGGGGATTATTAGTTTCTTTGATATATACATTTGGATGTGGCCCACTAATAGGAGCTGAGGCCTTTGGTGGAAGCCAGGTGGCTTAGGTAGAGGAATACAGCCAGTCCACCGCAATCCCACAGGCAGAACATATATCCTGACCTCAGTCTCCTCCAAAGCCCAGGGAAGCCAAAGGCCAAGGAAGCCCATTGATGCAGCCAGTACACGTCAGTTCCCAGCATGGAGCAAGCCAGGAAGTGTGGAGCATCAGCGTTGATATGCAGGGGCCAGCAGTGAAGAGGCCACACAAAGCCATAGGCCAAAGGAGGGATGTCTTAGGGAGTGAGTGCAGATAGACAAGGGGAGGAGGTCACTGCCCTGGGGACCTCCAATTAGAGATTGAGAGATAAAACAGAATCAGAAAAGGCTTCTTCAAAGGAGCAGTGAGACAGGAGAACAAAGAGAGCCACTCATGCCTGTAGCCAAGCAAGCTGTCCAGTAGAATGGAGGAAGAGAAGGGGGAGGGGGAGGGGAGGACTGGGATAACCACTTCAGGTAGGTCCAGTAGTCTGAAGGTTGTGGATGTGTGCATGTACTCGTGCGTGTGAGTTTGCATGTGTGTGAGTTTGCATGTGTGTGTGTGGGGGGGGGCAATAATGTACATAGAATATTTCTGGAAAGTGACAATAACAATTTATAGTGAGGGCTTCTAGCAGAGGGATCTAGGGGTGAACAGAAGGAGGGAGACCCAGCTTCTCATTTTCTTCCATTTCGGATGTATTTAATCAAATCCTTGTATGAATTTTTCAAAGGAAGAAAATACAGTTTTAACCCACCCCCACCCCCGCACTCCTACTGGGGTATAAGTGGTACATGCCAATAGTATCAACAACTCAGGAAGGATCACAGGCCAGCCTAGGCAACTTAGCAAGGTGCTATCTCAAAATAAAAAATAAAAAGGGCTGGGGATGTGGCTCAGTGGTGAAGCGCCCCTGGGATCAATCTCCAGTGCTGTAAGGAAAAAAAAAAAAAAGTTCTGTCATAACAAGAGAGATATAATATTTTCTAAAAGAATTTTTGTAGTTGTGGATGAACAGAATGCCTTTATTTTATTTGTTTATTTTTATGTGGTGCTGAGGATGGAACCCAGTGCCTCATGCATGCTAGGCAAGAGCTCTGCCAGTGGGCTACAGCTTAGCCCTGAGATATAATTTTTTGATGCTGGGGCTTGAACCTAGGACCTCATGCCCGTTAAGCATGTACTTTATCACTGAGTAATACTCCCCAGCCCCAAGAGCAGATCTGCAGTTTTCTCTAACCCTGAGACTTAAAGAGGAGAGTTAATGGAGTCTGGGAGGTGCAGGCCTGAGAAGACAGATGCTGTAAGGATGACCTCCCTGTGTCACTCCAGCCAAAGGCTTGAGGAGCAGTGACCTCAGAGGTCCAATTTAAACTATGTCCTGCTGTGTGCTGAAATCCCCTTCAATTACTCATAATCCCCTACTCCATTCAGCCCAAGACTTCAGGAAAGCTTAAGTCTTCTCATTGTAGTATCTTTTTGATAATTTTACATGGCATGCTTTTAGTATTCCTAATCTTGTATATCAAAAATGAATCCCCTGCTGGGCACAGTGGCACACACCCAGGAGTTCCTGGGTGATAGAAATATGAGTTGTTTGGACATTATAGCAGAGAGGGTCCCAGAAAGAAACAGCTGGCATGCTTGAATTGAGAAATTGGAAATTTCAATAGTTTGGGAGGCTGAAGCAGTAGGATTGTGAGTTCAAAGCCAGCCTCAGCAAAAAGTGAGGCACTAAGCAACTCCGTCAGACCCTGTCTCTAAATAAATACAAAATAGAGCTGGGGATGTGGCTCAGTGGGCAAGTGCCCCTGAGATAAATCCCTGATACCACCCCCCCCAAAAAAAAGAAAAAGAATTCTCTTCCTTAAAGAATTTATGAGTTTGGATGATATTATCTTGAAAGAGTGATTCATCATAATTCTCTTTCTGATAAAGCTGTACCTTGGACAAAGTATTTTTTCCCTACAGAGCACTCTAGATCCTTTGAAATTTTTTTTTGTTGTTTGTTTTTTAGTTAAGAATCAGCTGTAATCCAGGCATGGTGGTGCATGTCTGTAATCCCATCTGTTTAAGAGGATCATAAATTCAAGGTCAGCCGGGCGTGGTGCCCATGACTGTAATCTCAGCTCTGGAGGCTGAAGCAAGAGGATCACGAGTTCAAAGCCAACCTCAGCAAAAAACAAGGTGCTAAGCAATTCAGTGAGACCCTATCTCTAAATAAAATACAAAATAGGGCTGGGGAGGTGGCCTAGTGGTCGAGTTCCCCTAAGTTCAATCCCTGGTAACTGATCCCCTCTCCCCCCAAAAAAAAAAGAAAAAGAAAAAGAAAAAGGGCTGGTGATGTAGCTCAGTGGTAGATTGTCCCTGGGTTCAATCCCTGGTACTTTAAAAAGAAAGAAAGAAGGGAGTAGGGGAGAGAATCAGCTTGAAATTTGTGGAAATTAGGGAATGTGCACTAATTTTTATTCTCATTGCATGTCTAAAGGATGGGGACTCTGGTAAGGTCCCCAGGGGAATTAGCCTCTCAGGAGCCACAAGCCAACTTCAGGAGGCTCCTTACCAAGAGAAAGAAGGGTAGGATGTGTGAAGGAGACGTGTAGGAGATAGCTTTAGGAAACTGTTCCTCTCCTGGAGCTGCCTCCTTGGGGTGGGTGGGGGACTCCCAATCTAACAGACTTGATATTTTTCTAACACAGGGGTTTCCCAAAAGGGAAGGACCAGATGAGGAAAAGGAGCCATCAGCCCACCTCCCTTCTTGGAGCCCAACATGCTAAGGTCAGACTGGGCTCCACTTCCCTCTCTATCACCCACTCCCAAGTCAATTTTTCAATATGACCTATGCTTTGAGTCTTCCTGCCTCAGTCCTGATAAAAGAGAAACTACAAGGGGCTGGGGATATTTCTCAGTTGTTAGAGTGTTTGCCTCACATGCACAAGGCCCTGGATTCAATCCCCTGCACCGTGCCCACCCCCCCACACACACACAAGAGAAACTGCAACAGAGCAGGGGGCTTGCTTCCAGAAAACTAGTTGTTAACTATTTACTAGCACACAACTGCCCCTATTCTGTTTCTGCCATCAACAAACTCTGTGATTCAGGGAAGTCACTCAGTCCTTCTGAGCTTCAGTTTTCTATCAGATGGAAATCTCATAATATCTACCTAATTGGATTGCTGGGAGGATTAAATATGATTATAATCCTGTAACATAATTAGCATAATGTTTGGTTATTAGTAAATAATTAATATACTTTAGTATGGTTCTAGTCATCTATTGCTGCATAACCAACCAACCTCAAATTTTAGGAGCTTAACACACATTTGATTTGCTCATGAATCTATAATTTGGTCATAACGTGGTGAAGATAACTCATAACCAGAGAGATACAAAAGCTGGAGTTTGGAACCATGTTAATTCATGCCTCTGGCAATTGATGCTGGCTCTCAGCTGGGAATGCCAAGCATATACCTATACAGGCTTCTCTGGGTAGCCCCAGCCTCCTTTCAATATGGTGTCTGGTTTTCCTGGTTTTCCAGAAAAAAGCTAGACGTTAGGTGTCTCACCATTTGTAATTTAGCCTTGGAAAACACACAGTATCACTTTCTATTTCTTAAAAACAAGATTCTAAATCTAGAGAGGAGAATTAGATTCCTCCTTTTGATAAGAAGAGCAGGAAAGAATTTGTGGACTTGTTTCTAAACCATCACAGCTATTATTAGTATCGTTGCTTTCAGTACACTCTAGCTTCTGTAAGTGAATTATCCCACTTCTTACTTCTGGGCTCCCTGTGGGAGGGTAGGGTCCATTGGATTTGTTAAGGTCCTTCCCCCTTATCACTCTCCAAGTGAACCCAGAGCCCTTCCAACTGCAGAACTCAGTGAATGTTATAGAAGTGAATTCTCTTCTTGCAGGAGCTGGCCCTGAAAATTTATGTTCCAATTTCCTTGGATGACATCCCAGTTGGCCACATAAAAACTGAGGTGAGAGACCTGGGCAGGACACAGTCCAGGAGGGCAGGAGACTTTACCAGCAGAGCTGTGACTCCAACAGGCCCTACTCATCTTGGAGTGGTGGTGATTGTGATAGCAAGTTTATGGCTTAAAGAAACTCTCTCCAAAGGCTGCTTTGAAGTTGGAATGTCGTGATCACTGTCTGGGAGTCAGATCAGGGGTTCAGTATATAACTTCTTTCTTTGGTCTTATTTCCTGTCAAATTGAGATAAGAAAAGCTTCATGGATTGTTCATTTGGAACAGATCACCCTAATCTCTAGAAAGCCAGGTTGGAAGCCAATTTCTTCTGGATTGTGACTGATGGGGGTCACAGTCTCTCTAATAGGAAAAAAGAATAGAAAAATCCAAAGTGGAGCCAGGCACAGTGGCACACGCCTGTAACCCCTGCGGCTCGGGAAGGAGGCTGAGACAGAAGGATCACAAGTTCAAAGCCAACCTCAGAAAGGGCGAGGCACTAAGCAACTCAGTGAGACCCTGTCTCTAAGTAAAATAAGTACCCTTGAGTTTAATCCCTGGTACAAAAAAAAAAAAAAAAAAAGGGCAAAGTGGAGAGAAATGCCTTGCCTACTATGGGACATGAATCTATCTCACACTTTGAGATCCATAGAGCTGGGATCTAACTCCAGGGAGAAGTGTGTGTGTGTGTGTGTGTGTGTGGTGTGTATGGGATGTTTGGGTAGGGACTTAGGGACTTCTTGGGGAAAAACCCAGGAAGGAATGCCCCAGAAAACTCTTCAGTAGGAGGAGTTGGGAAGAGTTGGAGAGGTTCAGGGGAGTAAGGTATAGAGCGTCAGGCCCAGCCCTTCAACTGGCTGGAGGCTCCTTTCAGCCTTAGCTGTCTCTCTCTGTTTCCCCTCCTGCCCAGCTTACGCCAACAGGTTCTTGTCCTTGCTCAGTGATCTCCCTAGTAAGTCTAAGATGGGTTGAGGCCCTGTGTGCCTGCCTGGGTGGAGAAATTAGGGTCAGTCCTTCCTTCCAAGGCAGGACTTTCCAAGGGCATCAGGACTTTGGCCTGTGCTAGTTCATCACAGGGAATGTCAAGGCCCTCTGGGCCTGTCTCCAACTATGGAGTAACCCTAGGCACACTGGGGCCTCCACTCTGAGCCACGGTCTGCTCACTTGTGCATAGCACAGTTGTCTTGAACAGTTTTTCCCAAAGTGTGGCTCATGAATCCTATGGTCAGTAGGGATATTTAGGAGAAAAAAAAATGGGCTTGAGCTCATTTCCCCAGAAGCAGACCCCGAGATAAAGCTTTGAGTGAAAGTGTTTCACTTGGGAGGGTGGTCCAGGAAGCACTCGTGGAAAGAGAGGAAGGTAGATGGAGAAGGACACTAACATAGGGTGTGCCGAGTAGATTACTATGGTGAGCAACTGTGACTCATCCCCCTGGTACCTCTGGGATACTATCTTACCTATGGCAAGTTAAGGGCCTGTATTCAGGGCACTGTCAGCCTGTTCTGTGCGCCTGCAGCCAGAAACCTCCAAGGGTGAGAGTCATCTGTGCTTGCAGTGAGAAGTCCTCAGCACGTGTGAGAATTGTGAGGACTAAGGGGATATGATCGAGGCACAGGCAGGAGTTGCTACAGGGACAAGGATTTTGTTCACTACTCTTCATACGTGAGAGATCAGTGATAGTTTCCATAGAAATACTGTTACCTTTATGGTAATTATCATGGTCTTCAAAGTGCACCTGGGCCACCAAAACTGAGTTGTCCGGTTCAGCTTAGCTTATATCTAGTAAAGAGAACACCACTAGTTGTAGACCAACTGGCTAAAATATTCCCACACCAGTTTCATATTATTGCCTATGTTTGTTTTGTTTTCATTGTATTAGTAGTATTACATGGTGGTATGACTCCAAGCCCTAAAGATGGATCATCAATGCATAAAAATAGCATTGAAAAATAGTTATACGGCTGGGGATATTGCTCAGTTGGTAGACTGCTTGCCTCACATATACAAGGCACTGGGTTCAAACCCTAGCACCACACAAAAAAAATTAGTTATAAATATTGTAAAATAAAATGTGATTAGATATACTAGAGCCAATGAGTATGAAGAAGGAGCTGAGTTAAACAAACAAAAAAGAAAAGAGAAGCGTGAATCAGAAAGAAAGTTATGTGACTCAATATCCAGAAATGGGATTTTTAAAAAATAGTTATTTTTTAGTTGTATTTTTTTTTTTTAATGTCGTGCTGAGGATTGAACCCAGGGCCTCGCCTGTGCTAGGCAAGCACTCTACCGCTGAGAAATGGGATTTTGTTAGTTGATCTGCATTTCTTGCAGTCCCTGAGGCATTGTCTATTTGCACCATCTTTGCATCAGGCCCTGTAAGCTATTAGAAAATTGTTTTTCTAGCATAGGAGTAAAAGAGGCTCCAGCATGATAGTCATGCATTTTCTCAACAAAGAAAGAAAAGATAAAACCCCTAGAGGGATCATTAAAGTTGTCCAACTTACAGTGAGGACCAACACAATTGCAAATCCAAATGGAGTCAGAGGCTACTAAGGAATATTTTGATCAGAAAAAAAAGCACAGCATGCTCTTGGCAAAATTACTTGATCAAACCCCACTTTCAGATGACGCATAAAATCAATGACACACAATGTGAAAGAGCGATTGTTGTCCCCAGCAAGTACTAGCAGACAATTGGCTTTATTGTTGAATAAAACCACTTGTGGCAAGTCTTGTTCGTTGTCCATCCAGAATTCATTCCTTTCCTTCTTTCTTAATAATAGATCCTTGATTTTGGTCCATGCACCAAAGTCTCCAGCTCAGGCAATCAATTATAAGTGATCCAAATCAATCATGACCAATCCACTTCCCACTTCCCCAGTCCGTTCCCTTCGTGCTACCGGAGACCACGAGACCCAGTTCTGGCCAATTAAATGTGATGGGACAGTTGGGTGCTGTGGTGCACACTTGTAATCCCAGCTAGCCAGGAGGCTGAAGCAGGAGGATTTCAAGTTGACAAAGTCAGACTCTGCACTTTAGTGAGATTCTGTATCAAAATAAAAAATAAAAAGGGCTGGGGATGTAGCTCAGTGGTAGAGTGATCCTGGATTCAATACTTAGTACTGCCAAAAAACAAACAAACAAACAAACCACTGATGGAATATCTGCTGAGGATCCTTCTCTGAGAACTTCTGTTTTCTCAACAAATTAGTTGTACACGCCAGCCCTCCTCTTCCCCTGTCTTCCTAACTTGAACATAGTCATGGTGCCTGGTGCTGGACAGCCATCTTGTAAATATGACATAACCAGAACAAAGCAAAGTAAAGGTTGAGAGAATTATTGAGCCACTGAATGCATGTGAGTGTTTGCCTGCTTGTTCACAGCCCAGAAGTCAATCTATCCTTCTGCTGAAAGCCATTGTAAATCAAGGTTTCTACTACTAGTAGTTGAGAGCATCTCTGATGGGCGTACCACTGGCATGTGGAATATATGTTAGCTGTCTACATCTTTTCAAAAGGCATGAGAGAAATGTGCTTGATGACTTTTTGTTCTGTTTATTCCTGAATTCCTTTGCAAGATTAGAGATGAGCTCTCGGGTCCAGCCGGCTTCAGCCATGAGGAACCCCAGCAGGAAATGGAGAAGGAAGAGAGTGAGATGAGGCACCTGATCACCTGGTGACCTGCCTGTGAGTCCCCATGGGTTGTGTGCATGCTTCAAGAGGCCATTGTTCCTCCAAAGGCAGCCCCTTCTACCAGTTTTCTCCCTTCTGATCATGTCCCTAGTTCTCTCCCCTCTTGCTTCAGATCAAATGGTAGAAACAACTCTGCTGCTGCTCACACAGGTTGCATACTGTCCTGTGGGGTGCTCCTACATCCACATGTGTGTAAATAAGCCTTCCCCAAATAAACCAGTTTTGAGTGCATCATTATCTTTTTGTATGCTGACCCATCAAGCAGCATCAATTCACAGATTCAAAACAAAACAAAACTTGCATCTGTGCATCAAACCACACCACCACTGTATTCACAAAGACCAGCTGTCAGGCAACAATCTGGCTCCTGATCTTGATATATATAGAAACAAATAGCAAGAAGAGTCAATGCTTTCCATTCATGGCCTCTCTGACTATTTTCAGATACTGTGTAGAGAAATGGACAAGTAAAAGACACTGTTGAATAAAGTATGCTGGCTGTTGAGGGAAAGATATTCACATGAGGTTTTGAAATAAGAGATGAGATACAGCATCCCTTCCTGGCACGGTGGCCCTTTGATGTGGGTGGCTGGCCCAAGCAGCAGCTCAGTTGCACACTCAGTCTCTTGATTACCCTGAACTTTCAGCTTCAGAGTGAGACTATCGCCATTTTTTTTTTTAATGCTGAGGAAAAGACATCAAGATTTGGAAGACAGAATGGCGGTGCCAAAGCTTAGCCTTTGAGAATATAATTCTTTCCTTCCGTTTGAAGGTTTTCTTCTCTTGGCAGAGAAATCTATATAAAAGCACCACTAGAAAAATAAAAATATTCCATCAGACACAAATACAAACATGTGCACACACATGCGTATCAAAGAAAACACAAAAATGCTTGTGGTAAAACAAAACAGAAGATGCAATGAAATAGGAAACACCGCAGAAGATAAGATGACAGAATTGCTGGGCGTGGTGGTACACACCTGTCATCCTAGCAGCTCGGGAAGCTGAGGCAGGAGGATCCCAAGTTCAAAGTCAGCCTCGACAACTTAGAGAGGCTCTAAGCCACTCAAGTAAGACTGGTGTCTCAAAATACAAAATAAAAAAGGGCTGGGGATGTGGCTCAGTGTTTAAGTGCTCCTGGGTTCAATTCCTGATACCAAAAAAAAAAAAAAAAGAAAGAAAAATTAATGTGAATATATCATCTATATCAACAAATATAAATGGGATAAACCCACCCTTATAACAGAAAAAAGATACATTGAATAATAAAACAGTGTCCTATTGTATGTTATATGTGACGTATCTTCACCAAAATAACTCAGAAAGACTAAAAATAAAATATGAACCAAAGTATATATACCAGAAAATACTGAGCTGAGACTTCAGTGTAACTATCAGCCAAGGTTAAATTAAAAATGTTAAAAAATGTTAAATGAGGCAAATGGAAGTTAAACAGAAAAAGGAGCATTATCCATGTTAAGAATCTAATTTCCAAAAATCTCTTCTCCAATAACCGTTTCAAAATAAAAAATAAGCTATGATAATTTAGAATAACTCTATACAGAAATGAAATCAGAATGAGCTGAAACATGAGAATAGGTATTAATCAACCCCATCAGCTCATAATATATCAAGAAAACAAAAGATAGGTAGGAATACAGAGAATCTAAATAGTAATTAAATATCATTAATACTGAGATAAGAATCTCAAAATATTAGCAAACATAAATAAACACTATCTCAAAGGAATTATTCCTCGTATTTAAAGAAGTTCATCCTAATTGTACAATTAGGAACTCTCTAATAAAATTGATTATATTAACAGATATAAGGAGAACTACATAACATCTTCTCAACAGATGTGAGAAATAAATTTGACAAAAATCTCACATATACTTTTTTTTTTTTTTAGAAAAAGCTAAAAGGTGATTTATTGCTCTGCTAGCAAAGGAGAAACACAGGGGACTTCTGTCCCAAAGGCTATGATTCTGCCCATTAGCAGGAACTGGGGGTTTTAAAAGAGGTGATTCAGAGAAAATGAGATTAGGGAGGAGAGATCAGGAATGAGAGGATCAGGGAAAAGATCAGGGAGGAGAAAGTTAGGAAAAAGAAGATAGAGAAGATTAGGGAGGATAAGATCAAGAAGGAGAAGGTTAGGGAAAAGATCAGAGAGGAGAAGGTCAGAGAGAAGAAGATTGGGAAAAAGAAAAACATGTAAGTTTTAAAGCCGCAAGGATATAGTCAAAGCATCAAGTGAACCTCTGTTACATCTCCCCACTGTCAGTTTCTAGCTTCCATTTCTATGGAAAGTGGGCAATGACATCTCCAAGCTATTTCCTGTTGAAAGGGGGCGAAGTTGGGGGAAAGACCCAAGGTTGACATCCACTCCTTATTTAAAAACAAACAAAACAAGGCATGGTGGTATGCCTGTAATTTCAGCAATTTAGGAGGCTGAGGCAGGAGGATCTTAGCCTCATAATTTAGTGAGTCCCTGTCTCAAAATACAAACTAAAAAGGGCTGCAGATATAGCTCAGTGGTAAAGAAGCCCTGCATTCAATCCCCAGTACCAGAAACAAAGAAAAAAAATAGGAATAGATTGATGTAGTTCCTCACCATAGTTTCATACATACGTATGCATGAACCAAAACCAGCATCACACATAAGAGTGAAACCGAGAATTCATCCCCACTGAAGGCAAGTACTGGGTGATAGCAGCCACCAACATCACTATCATTTACTATGCCTCTGGCAGTTCAGACCAATGTAAACAAAAAAGAGAAATAAGAGGTGTAAATAGGGGAACAAGATGGGGCTGGGATTGTGGCTTAGCGATAGAGCACTTGCCTGGCATGTGTAAGGTCCTGGTTTCAATCCTCAGCACTGCATACAAATAAATAAATAAAATATCCATTGGCAACTAAAAAAAATTTTAAAAAATTTTAAAAAAGATATGGGAACAAGAAAGCAGAACTACGCTTTCTAAAGCCAGGCATAGTGGTGCATGCCTGTAATTCCAGCAATTCAGGAGGCTGAGGCAGGAGGATTGCAAGTTTAAGCCCAGCCTCAGCAATTTAGGGCGGCCTAAGCAACTTAAAGAAACCCTGTCTCAAAATAAAAAATAAAAAGGACTAGGGGTGTGGCTCAGTGGTAGAGTGCTTGCCTGGCATGCATGGGACCCAGCACTGCAAAAACAAAGAAACAAACAAAGGCTCAGATTCACTTATCATAAGAGAAAAGATGCCAATTAAAACAGTAAGATTCCTGTTTCTCCTATCAGATTTTCAAAGATCAGTATATTTGATAACACCAAGTGTCACTGAAGATGTTGAGAAACAGTTTCCCCAGAGACAACGGTTAAGAGTGAAGTCAGTACAGTTTTAGGGAGGATGATTTGGCAATAGTTGTCCAAAATCTTTTACCCAGAATTCAACTTCTTGGATCTTTAATTCACATATCTAAAAAGTTTTCCAATTTAAAACCAGATGCAGTGGCAGACCTGAAGTCTCAGCTACTCAGTAGGCTGAGGTGGGAGGATCACTTAAGCTCAGGAATTTAAGACCAACCTGTAATACATAGTGATACCATCTCAAAACAACAAAACAAAACAAAAGCAAGCCACCAACGACTTGGGATGTTGAGGCAAGAGGATCACGAGTTAGAGGCCAGTCTGGGCAACCTAGTTGGAGCCTATCTCAAAATAAAATAAAGGGGTAGGGATGTAGCACAGTGGTAGAATGCTTGCCTAGCATGTGCAAGGTCCTGGGTCCAATCCTCAGTCCAGCAAAACAAACACCACCACCCAAAAGCTGTTCAAGATATGTGCTTGAGCTGGGTGGGCATGGTGGCACACGCCTGTGGTCCCAGCAGCTGGGGAGCCTGAGACAGGATGATCACAAGTTCAAAGCCAGCCCCAGCAACTAGCAAGGTCCTAAGCAACTTAGCGAGACCCTGTCTCAAAATACAAAATAGAAAATAAAAAGGGCTGGGGATGCGGCTCAGTGGCTAAGCACCCCTGGGTTCAATTCCTGGTACCAAGAAAAAAAAATGTGCTTGAAGACACCTCCTTTCCTGGTTTCTGTTTTCTAGCGTCTTAGCTTAGTGGGCCTAAAAATTGATGCACAGGGGCTGGGGTTGTAGCTCAGTGGTAGAGTACTCGCCTCACATGAGTGAGGCCCTGGGTTCAATCCTCAGCACCACATAAAAATAAACAAATAAAAAATCATGCACATAAGAATCAAGTAGAGGGGCTGGGGAGATAACTTGCCTCTGCCTTGCATGCACAAGGCCTTGGGTGCAATCCCCAGCACCACACACACACACAAAAAGAATCAAGTGGAGGACTTGTTAAATCACAGGTTGCTGGGCCTTCACTTCCAGAATTCCTGATTGAGTAGAGCAAGAGGAACCAAGGAAAAACACTTTAACCATAAATTGTGTATGGCATAAGGTAAGGTTAAAAATTTGCATGTGGATATGTTGAAAAAGCGTTTTTTTGTTTGATCCCCCAAATCAAATTAAAACTTCAACCTCACCCAACAACCTCTTATGTTTAACATAAGAGCTAAAACTATAAAATCCTTAGGTGAAAAGTAACATGAAGTTCCTTGTACTTGAGAGCCATGGTGGAATAAATTCTTACTCATTTGGGGTAAAATACGAATATTTGGTCTCTGTGCCCAATTTCTGACAGAGTTCCTGAAAACCTGTGGAATTTCCTCAGTGATAGAAATGTCTTGTAATTTATAAGGAGCCCCTTTTGATCACACCTGGGCTTGTGCTAATGAGGTGATTTAGGCTAGGTTTCCTAGATGATTTCAGGATGGGGCTGGTCACCAGAAGGACCAAAAGTGATTTAGAGCGAAGTCTTAACTCTACCCTCTCAGTAAGGGGTTGGAGATTAAGGTCTATAAAAATTCTCAAACAGCAAGATTTGATAAGCTTCTGGACTGGTGGACACATTCAGATCTCCATACCAGGAGTGTGGCACAACCCAACTCCACAGGGACAGAAACCCCTGTGCTCAGGACACTTCCAAATCTTGCTCTATGCACCTCTGCCTCTGAGGGATCAATTGTATTCTTTTCAACAAACTAGTTAGTAAAGCATTTTCTTAAGTTCTGAGAGCCCATTCTAGCAAATTGCCAAATCTTAGGAGGAGATCATGGGAAACCCAGATTTATGTCTATGTCTGTCAGAGTAGGCCAGGAACTTGTGACTGGTGTCAGAAGCTGAGAGCTCTGCATACTTCCGAAAAGTTAGTGTCTGAGA